CACTTTAATGCAGCATGAGAGTGACTCTCCATATGAAACCTCAAATCACCCCCCCACTGACCTCCACCCACCCACCGCATGCACCTGACACATCTAAGGACACTGAGTCACTGCCAGAAGATGCACATGGCACTGCCTTTTCAGATACAAATCAAACATTCTTAAGAAATGTACATGATGTAAAAACATCAAGCAGTAGATGTTAATTATTGAAAAAGAGTATTTCATCTTCCACATTAACAGTGTACCCGTACAACAAAATACACGCTTTAAAAAATGACAAGATAAATACCAGACTCTCCAGCCATGCTAGTGACTCTCCATACAATAGTCACAGCGGTGCTTTGAGCTGAATGCTAACATCAGAATGCTCATTATGTTTACAATGTTCACCATATTAGTTCAACCTGCAAGCCTGCTAACATTTGCTAATTAGCACCAAACAGTACAGCTGAGGGTGATGGGAATGTCATTAGTTTTGCGGGTATTTAGTCATAAACCAAAGTAATGGACAAATTAAAATGTTGACCTGATGATGGCCTTTTGTGAAAAGTTAGGGGATCTTGAATATCTGTAGCCGATTTCACTGCAATCACTCCAATAGATGTCGGGATATTTTATTTTTACTGAAAACCAGAAATGTCAACGTCCTTATGGTGCTAAAGGAAGAGTCAGGGGATCTCTGAAGTTATTGCAATTCATCCTGAGGGTAACGTGAATGTTTGTACAAAATTTCATGGCCGGCCGACATTGCCAGAACACTAGAGTGGCTAAAAATATGTGGTGGTGAGGGGCCTCTTTCAATAACTTGAACACACAACACATCGACCAATGCCACATCTACCTTTGTCCACTGTTGGCTATAAGGCAGGTGCGTAAATATAGTCAGTTCAGTAGAGAGCGTAGCGAGGGCCTGCTCTCGCTACCCTCTTATAATGTGTTAGACATGAGTTTTTGGGGGGTAAAACAGCCAGCAGCAAATTATACAATGATGATTGCTGGGTAATATGTACAGTATGATCATGTTGTCCAATATGAACTATATGATTATGGGACGAGAAGATATGCTACTTTAGGCGCAAATTCTGTCAAGACTGACAAGCTGAGCACATGGTGTGCCTAATGTATGTGTGTGTGTGTGTGTGTGTGTGTGTGTACTGGGGCCCGTCATAACTACCTTGCGCCACTGATATATGGTGTCTCAAACCTCCAGCACAGACTGAATGGACAATAAAACACGTCACTACAGAGAAACTTTCTCACCGTGAGCCTGAAAAAAGAATGAGTGAGAAGCCGCCACAGCGTGTCATCCTCCCATAATGAGTACAGTGCCACTTACAATGAACGGTTTCTTTCTTCCTCACAGACAGATAATAGCCGTCATTCATCAGAACCTCACAGACGACGAGTTTCATCGATTTCCATCCGACTGGGAGAGGCAGAGCCTCAGAGATGGAGGTTCAGGCTCAGAGACATGGGAGTTGTCGGAAAACAGAACGGGGACAGCGAACGCCTCACAGGGGGGGAGGAGGGACAAACTGAAAGGGAGGAAACTGATTATCAACTCCCATCTACAAACGATAACAATGTGCATGTGAGCTCCATGTTTGGGCTGCTAATGACATGCACAGACTGGAAGGGGGTGGGGAGGTGTTCCTCCAACACAACCTGCCGCATCTCACAGCCGAGACAACTGCATAACAGAGAGAGAGATTTACTCTTATAACGAAATCCTTTGCTTGCTAGTTGCTTAGCAACAAAAACACTGATTCATATGGCACACACCGCATGTGCCTGACACTGCATTTCTGACACTTCGGAGGAAGATTGATACTTGGATGAGGAAAAAAAAACAACAAAAAAAAAAAAAAAAAAAAAGAGGGTGAGGAGAAGACAGTGCAGGACTTACGAAATGAATGTCGGGAGAGCAAAAGGCAGAGAGGGAAGGATTGGAAGTGAAAAGATGACCCATCTCTGGCTGACTCCCACAGAGGAGCACAACAGGTTGGTGGAGCTCACCAGCTTCTCTTGGCACAATCTGAACAGAAACACACAATCTGACTCCTCTCTTTTATTCACACATGAACAGTGTTCGACCGTGGACTCTGAAAGCAACAACCTCATCCTGAGATGCATTTCTGTTCCATTTCTGTCCGTGTATAAATAAAACTGGGATGCGAGCTGGTGGATTCTGTTGAATATTTTAACCGGAGCTGAAACTCTTAGCAGATCGATCTTTCCTTTAAGTCATTTATCAAGCAAAGAAATGCTTAGTTTTACCATTACATCTGGTATATCGTTGGGTTTTGAATCGTTTGTCAGATTTTAAAAAGGCCATCTGAGGACATCACCTCGGTCTCTGGGAACTTGCAATAGACATTTTTATGTATTTCCAGACAATTTAAAGAGTAAGGGATTAGCTAAATAACCAAAACCATATCAGCAGAGTAATCACTGATAAAAGTGGTCGATAGCTGCCGTCCTAATTGCAACCAGAGAATAGAAATTAAACAGACGTCACCCTTCAAACGGTCAGCACCACCCTTCATGCAGCATTTGCCATTTCTCCTCATCCACCCTGCCTGTCTGAGAGAGGAATGCACTGCTTGAGACACAAACTGCTTTATCTCTGGCACCTGTATAGTGGGGCAGATTAGTGAAACAATCTTTCACTTGGTGATACAAGCTACAAATTTGGCACAAATTATCTTCAAGACCTATATTTTCAAAAAAGCCCGGTATCCACGATGGAAAAACAATATGGCCGCCATTTTCCAAGATGGCTGCCAGCAAATGCCAATATATGCGATTTACAGATACACAGGGCTAATTAGATAGCATTTGGGACACTAAACTCTACTAGAACTACAGGTAGCACTGCAGTTAGTAGACTACAACTACAGCAAGTACACTAATTAGCCGACACTGAACCCCATGCTGAGTCTCACAGCAATGATGTCACCAGTGTGCCCTGGTTGTGCTTTGACATCACTCTTTTATAAACAGAATGTCCCCTCATATAGATCAATCAAAACATTTTAATTTGGATCAAAAAGATAACTTGGAACTTGGACTACTACTTCATCCAGCTGAAACCTAATCTTTGATCAAAGAATGACAAAAAGTGTGAATTTTGAGTAACAAATGGCCGCCATCTTGAAAAATTGCGACCTTATTGAATTTCTCGTGTCAAAATACATACATTTTGATGTCTAGATTATTAAAATATGTCCAGCCATTCAATTTCTACACTGAAAAATCTATTCACATTTTCGGCGACGGCCATCTTAACAAATCTTGGATTTTCAGGTGGATACCGGGCTTTTCTGGAAGAGTAGTTCCTAGGCATTATTCATGCCAAATTTGGTGCTTGTATCACCAAGTGAAAGATTCGAATGGAATATTGACTTAATCTGCCGCACTAGTATCAGCCATTACATCTTTGTCCTCAAATATACAAAGAAGGATAGAAACTTTAAGATACAGTCAGAGCCAGACGAACACTCCATACAACACAGAAACTGCAAGATTTTTATTTTTTTTTTTTATCTTAACGCAGGATTGCGGCCGGCCTCGGGCAGATGGTTTCGTAACAATTGTGAAACAGAAAATCTAGTGGCAGTCTGCCTTAAATGTTATGAAAATGATTTCTGGGGATTACACTGTGGCATGAGTGTTAGCCTCCACAGAGGCACTACAGCTGCACACCATTGGAAAGAGAATGTCTGTTGGACATCCAACAATGTAAGACAGCTGACGCGCTCAGTGTGTCCTGAACAGGGTAAAACTATTCCTGACTTTTGGAGACGAGTCAAACAAACGGTTCACTGGAGGGTTTCGAGCTGCAAATAATAATGACCTCAGACTATGTTGATGAGAAAATGCATTGTGGGAAACTAGGTTATGGATTACAACCATTTAAAAAAACCATTAGTCTCATTTCCTAAGAATCCTAAAGTTTCTGAGAGTTTTCTGTCAATACCTTAAAATCTTGTGAGTTCTTCCAAATGACGAAATGATTAAATTGTGTCTCCAACCCCATGAAAGGGGGGTGAATGGAACTTGGTTTGTGATTAACACAGTATTGGACAATTACATTTAATAGAGTCAACAGCAACATCTCAGCTGTTTTCATAGAGACTAATTATTCAATAGTTCCAGTGAAAATGTTCACAGGAGGTCTGTGGATTATGCAGAATAGCAAGAACATTGTTTCTAGAAAAAGACAAGTCGCCACTATTATCTTTTTTTAATTAGTTTTCTGCCGCACTAATTCAATTGATTTCACATTCATTGTTCTGGGGTGGCGGGAAATATCTCAAAATCTGGACAATAAAACACAAACACAAATAAACTGACTAGATAAAAGAGGACATTAGGTGGGTATTGTGTGATTTGTGTCAGTTTGGGTGAGGCAACCCTTTAAATATTCCATTGTTATCAACATACAAGGATATCTTAAATAGAAAGGATTATACAAACGTAATAAAAAAGACTATCAATTTAATCTGATATGGTGCATTTTGTGCAAAGAGGGTGCTTTCAGATTCAACCAAAAAAACAATATATTCAAATAGCAGTAACACAAGAGAAGCAGTTTAAAATCCTTATAATATATTACCTGATTGTGTGTTTGAACACTTTCCAATCAAACTAATGGAACAGATATAAGGTTGTCCACCAACAAGTGTCAGCTGCAACTACAAAGCTGCCCAGCCACACTATCGTTCACCAGGACAGTGAAATCATTTTAGTATAATAGTATCTATTTGTTATTGTATGTGACGTTCAGCCAAGAGCAGCAGAGTAAATTATTCAAAGTCACGTAGCCCACCATGCTCTCTGTGGATGAGGCCTTATTCAACACGGATTGAATTACGAGCCGGTTTCATAGATCAAACCGGACACATTGTTGTAGCGCGCTGGCTGTTGCACAAAAACCCTGGAATAAATAAGTAGTTTCATCGGGGTGTGGTGGTTTATGAAATGCCCGTGCGTACCTTCTTTTTGACGTTACAGTGGCAGCACACAGTCCACAGATATTTGAGAGTTCTCCACAGGAGGATTATGAAGAGACCCCCAAAGAAAGTGACCATGGAGGACGCGAGGAAAGCCCACCACATCCGCTGGCCGTTGCTGTCACAGGGCACATCTGGGGAAAACGGGATGATGACATTCATCTTGGATATGTGGATGGACGGATCCGGGTTGAATTTCTCCCTCTTCGACATTCTCGGCCTCTGGTCACCTGCCAGCCCCCTCAAACAATCAACTCAACTGGGATTCAGGCGCTTCGGGGATCTCCGGCCAGCGCCACCAGTCAACCACCTTCCGCTCCTCTGCCTTCTCATCTGGCTTCACTAAGCAACGACGTAAAAGTTGAGTCGACAGCAGTCACGCAGTGATAATAGAGAAAGAGAAAGAGGAAAAAAAAAACTTCCTTTGAAATCAAGATATCAGTCGTGCGCCTCACGATGCGCGTTCGTGGCTGGAATTGCGCGTCATCCGTTTTTTTTTTTTTTTTTGTTTTTTTTTTTAAAAAATCACATTTTTGTGCAACCTGCTCAACAACTCACGATGTTCCCGACAGTCCCGATGGCTGACACTGCAAGTGTCATGTTGAAGAGACTCGTCAGTCGATGGATTCACTCACTCCACCTTTTTAATAGCGCAGCTTTCAGCAGGTCCGCTACTTGAGCCCCGCACCGCGCACTGTTGAATGCGCTCCGCGCGTTGAAAGGTCGCAGTATGTAGATATCCCCTTACAGAAATATCGTTTGAAAAATAAAGAGAGACCGTTTCTTGCGTTAAAGAGAGGATTTAGTCATTGCCGATCCTCGGGCTCCGGCGGCCGCCTGTCACATCCATTTGTCGGGAGATGGCATCGCAGATTTACAGGTAGCGGGGGAGGAGCCATCAATAGCAGACGTCGATGCTTATCTGGTTGTCTGGTTATTTATAGTGACCGCTACATCAATTTTTGATGACTAACTTTGTGGTTACGGCGATCTCACTTTTAAACTAGTTTTTTTTATTTATTTAAACGAACACTCAATACTTTAACTATACTCTAAATTATAGGATTTGCATTCGTGGGAAACCGATAACAAATATTTATATTGGAAAAAGTAGCCGAGGATGTTGAGCTTTGATTACGCATCTCTGTGGATTAAGGCTTTATTTAATATAAATTTTTAAAAAAAAACTTCCTCCAAGTAGTTATTTATGACGCTACTTGATGACAGCAGCATCTCCAACACATTTCTGATTTTATAGTAAAATTAAAAAAAAAAAAAAAAAGCATCACATCTTTTTCACTTAAAACAATGTGTAACCATATCGACCGAATAGTTATTAAACTCAGTGAATTGGAGTATTTCTCTAGAGTAGACAGCAATGATAACGTGGGGAATGAAAAGTGACGAAAGGACATCTTACCATTTCTCACCTACAGTGGTGGTTTACTCTCCCTGGTGGACAAGTGAAGATTGTTGAGGTCCAACTTGTGGCATTTTTTCTTGACTGTTTTGTGAATCATCTTGCACAAAAAGGTAACAATATCTATTAACGCTGCAGATTCAAATTACCAGATGAGTAAACAAACTATTTCAATGGAAACCACAGACAACTTGCTTTCCATTAACTGTACTCCGTTTTTAATATTTTATAGCAATATTAACCTTCATTAGGAGAGGACCTAGAGTGATTCATCGAACTTGAACATGAAATGTTGACAACTTCGTGTATTGAAAATACAAGACGTGCTTGTAAATGTGTTTAGTTGACAGCGAACCATGAACCACAAATAAAATAGCCCTTCTTAAAAAAATATCCCCTTGACAAAGATGAACACTATTGGCAACACCCGTAGAACACACAAACTGGGACAAACCGTGGTGTAAAGAAAATACCTGCTGTGTGATTTATACTGGACGTTGTAGTGTTAATAAATCCAACAATGGGTGGTGATGAGCAAATATTTTGAGCTTGGCACAATAATATTTTTAGGGCTGAAATGATGAATGAAAAGACGGTGCTAGCAAAGAGAAAAAAATAGAACAGACGACTGCAACAGTGTGAAAGCAGGACATTAATTGGAAAATATCATCCTTCCTATTAACTACACAACTACATTTGTATGACAAAAGGTTCATAACCAACATCTTTGATTAGATAAATTACATTGCAGGACAATACGTATAAATATAGAGAAGGGAACACAGTGGTCCACTCTTATCTTCACTTCAAGAATAAAGTCTTCAGTTTGCGTCGATGCAGACTTCCTGTGGTCCGACATATTCATGGAACAAAGTGGGATTAAAAGGAGTGCTACTAGATGTAAGAGAAAATAAAATATTCAAGTATTAAGTACTAGTGTAAACAAATCTATCTGTAGTACAGTACAAAACTATTGTAGTGGGAATATTACATGATCATCAGTGCAGAATAATGCTGTATGTGAAAAAGCATTGGAGTTTACCATAATGTCTTTTAGCTGTACCGATTCACTGTGTATCCCGTAATAATAATAAAAAAAAAAAAAAAAAAAAAAATCACATCTTCTCTAATGTTTCTGGAGTCATGTGCGGTGACCGGTGAGGGGGTGACATTTCTACGGCGCTCCATCTGGAATCCACAGGACTTTACTCTGTTCCTGCTCCACGATGGTCATGATCTGAGTGCAAATGAAGGCGACGCTGCCTCCTTGGACAACGCCTGCAACACAGTGAGGGTGGGGAAAAATATTTACATGAGAAGTGTTGAAAATTCAGTCTTCAAAAATTTTTTTTTCTGGATTTAAAAAGTACTCCACCGATTTAGCGTTGTACAGCGCTGCACATCATGGACAGTTAAAAAAATAAATATAAAGAAAACGGATATCAACTTTTATATTTCATGCAGCCTTCTTCCTTGTGAAACTTTGTGCCTACATTACCCACAATGCAACTCAACCCACAACAGTTCTTTTGCGTGTGTAATGCTTGAAGCAGCTAATGTTCTCTCTCTCCCCCCCCCCCCCCCCCCCCGTTTCAAGTGACATCACTTGAAGTAATTTATCAGATTTCCCACAGCTCCCTCTGGAGCCACAAACTGCTTTATGCAACCTGTTTTTCAAATACACATTAAAAAAAACAGACATTTTAAGAAAAATTTTATTTTTCAGTACTTTGACAAACGGGACTATACAGCCAAATTATTTCAGGACTTTTAGACTACAGGGATGTGATCAGTAACACTTCATGGCATCTACCGGTTCAAATTTATAACTGCTGATAATTACAAGTTCTCTTGTGTGCAGAAGCTGGCCAGCCACCTCTCCTTGTTAGAGGGGATGTGTTCATTCCCAAAGCGCTTCCCCATAAATCTACTTCTTTTATAGAGTCATTAATCAGCTGGACAGTCGGGCGTGTCAGACTGGCTGCTGCTCTAGATACCAAAACTTTGTGTCTGATCTGCGAAAACCTACAGAGATATTGTGCTCCAAAAAGCTCAGATGACCTCCAGTGCTGTTGTAGAGTCACATTGATTAAACAAAACTTTATTAAAATATCAAAAACTTTTTAGCAAAGCTTGTTGTAACTGAATTTGTTTATTCTGAGCTTTCCTGTAAAATACACCTTTCTATGTAGAAGACTCTGCCTTAAAGGGTTATCATATACACATTTAGTACCTTGTTTAGTCTCTATAAGCTCAAAATGTTTATTGTCATTACTGTATTTCCTGCATCTATGCTCTCTGCAGTATATCAGAGAGAAAATCTAGTGATTTCCACCAACCTGTGAAGAAGCGGCTGTACTCCTGCTCTGTTTTCTGTGCCGCCTCATACTGCTCCTTGGAATGTTTCTGAGAGAGTTTATCCCGCAGGTACAAAGGGTCCTTCTGCTCTCTGAAGAGACAAACATCAGCGCCTGTCAACATTCTTGAAAATCATAACACGGCGCAATACCAAGCTGTGGAAGGAGTCGCAGTTTGTCAAAAGCAGTAAATACATTTTTTTTTTAAAATAGGTTCTTGTTATTTCGCTTTGAAGCCGTTTGCTCTAATCACTCATACAAATCTCCATTTCCATTTATTGAGCTTGTGTGCTTGCAAGCTGAATATAAACCACAAACAATTTGCACTGCAACAACTGCAGAATGCATCTGTAGGACATGACTGCATGCTGAGGTGCTAGTTGTGTTTAATATGGATACAATTTTAGGTGTATGCATCTAAACACTGATCCAGTGTATATCACAATTTTAAGTAAGTGAATAAATTAAAGAAAATTTGCCTTATTTACTTTTATACAACTAATATAAGTAATAAATATTTAACCTACAGCAAGTATGATATAAATGAGATCTCTCTACTGCAAACTCTTCTCACCAACTGGTTCACTTTACATCTGCACACAGTCCTAATACGAATTCAAGTGACTACCCAGTCACCATCCACTGGGAGCCCCTGAACCAACTTAAAATCCCACTCATCTCTCTGTGGCACTCAGTATGCAGTCAACATATTGGTCTGCTGTTGCCTCCCAGAGGATCGATTTAAAAAAAAAAAAAAAAAAAAAAAAAAAAAATATGAAAAAGCTCAAGCTTCCATCAATCGCTGCCACGGGCAGGCAGTGGGATGTGCGTTTGTGTGCTGCTGCGGTGGACGGGGGAAGCGAGTGTATTAGCCGCCCACGCCACAAAGCGGAGCCACAGGCCCCGAGAGCTCTTCCTGGACAGCTGGCACTCAGCTGATGACAGCAAAAGCTTAGCAGGAATCAGTCTCCACCATGTTTGCCCGCTGCACCACTTCATAGTTTTGTGGGTGTGGCCGAGAAAGCCCGTTTCTACCAGACCAGAGTGTGTCTTTATTTGTGTAGTTATGCGTGTGCGCCTGTTCACTCCAAAGTTAATTAGTTCCCTCAAACATCAGTATAGGTTCAATATGTAAACCTACGTCCTGTACGTCACATTAGCATTGATGGGATGCATTTGTAATACAACTATGAGAGAAGCCAACTTTAAGGTAGATTAAAGATTCAAGTTACTGTCTCAGGGTATCAGATTACATTTGATAAACAAATGGATCCCTGTGGAGAAATTGGGGATCTGCAGCAGCAAATACAAGATAGCTCGATAGAGCAAAGCAATAATGCCCAGTGTTCGTCAGAAAGATAATGTGTTAATATGATTCTATTTGGTTCCTTTTGTTGCAATATTATTAGTGTGACTGGTATTGCTTTGAGAGACAGCTAAGATGTTTGTTACAAAGTCATCACAAACCGTTCGCCTCAGCAGAATTAATCTCCCCATGAAAAATGGATCTATGAAATATCACAATCATCCTATCTACTGACACTGTGAATAAATCAAGTTGATCAATTTCTTTTTGTTGTGTCTGCTAGATGAATAGGATTATGAAAGCAACATGATGTCAATTTCCTGTTTTGATTGAAAGAAAATTAAAATGAGAAATCTAAAATTATATTTCCTGGACGGTGAACTGACAACATCTGGAGAAATGTGTAGCTGAGTCATTCTAACATCCATCTTCTTGACTGGGAAAGGACAGAACTTATGCCAAATAATCCTAATTATGTCCAATAAGCTAACAGTAACAAAGAATTAAGTCAGATGCTACAGCAACTACAGTGTTTGTTGACGACTTGTGTGCATTCATAGTTAATATTATATTGGGGATATATTTCTGTAAGAAATCACATTTTCTCAGCATAAACAGCCTCCAGAAACAAAAGCCTTGGATGAAAGACTCAGGATCTCACTGAAGGATCTGAACTTGAAACTGAAATTGGGTAAACAGCAGTGGCACCAAAACATAACGGCACGCTTGACATAGACTCGATAGGTCTTCAGATAAGAAAGCAAAAAAAGCACTGAAACAAACATCTTCCAAGTCACGGGATTACTCACTTTATCTGCTTGGCATTTTTGTAGCGAATGAATATGACGATCGGGTAGATGTGAACGCTGTGAAGACGCTCGATGGCGTGAGGTGCAATGTCAAGTAAA